ATGCCCCTCAGGTATGTCCTTCAATTTAATTTGTGTTTATTTGTAATTTTATTTTAAAATAAAATTTATGCATAATATATTGTTGTTAAATGCACAATATTTTGTTTTCTGTTACAATTATGTATAGGTTCTTTCGTACATTGTTGATTGACCTTTATTTAGATAAGTATTATAAATATGCTCTTATATATATAAATGAACAAATTTCAGCAGTTAAAAGTAACCTTATTCTTAAGGAGATAGTAATTTGCCTTTAGGAAATAAGGGCTAGATGTAATTAAGAGAGTAACTTTAAGTTTCTGAATTGCATCCGGCCTTGATTGACAGGCGTCACTTTGGCACCGTGATAATGTCCTTGAGATCCCTGTACAAAACCATTCAAGATGAGATTAGTCACTTATAAAAATTCTTGAGATGTAAAAAATCCAAACAAAGTCATAGTTTAAGTTGAATGAGGTCATAGCTAAATTGCAGGGTTTCTGTATACAAAGCAACTTTGTCAACTTATTGCAATAAGTGGTTAACCACTATTAAATATAGAAGGACTTAACCTGTTACTGCATTAAGGTAAAATTTTAAAGGGCGGAAGCTTGATCCAGCTCATTGATTTAGCTCTTTCAAAGAAAGCTATTGGTTCTGCTGAAAACAATTGGGGGTGGGGGGAATTGGGAGGGAGGGCCCGGGAGTCAGGGTCTTTCTGTATCATGCTGTAAGACAAAGCACAAGAATGTTGCTATTCAGATTCAAACAATTGAAACAAATGTTCAACAGTGATAAAGACTTATCAAAGTTTATAAAGTAAAGTTTTAATCATCATCTCAGTTGCCATGACAACACATAGTATGTCTGCTTTTAAATATAAGGCTAAAATAAGGTTCAAGTACTGTTAACCTTTAGGCTAGCTAATAAGTGAAACATGTGTAAGGGTTGACATTATTGTGAATTATAATATATTTCATTTGAAACATACATTGTTATTTTATGGTTGCTCAACTGTAACCGGAAACCTGCTGAATCACCCTGCATTGAATTTGGAACAGTCCATTCAAAGATGAAAAACATTAAGAACATCAAAAATTTAGCTAACAGTAGAGATTCTTATTAGTTTGCACAGATGTGCAGGCTGGTGGCAGGCTTGATACTGGTGGTTAAAGAGATTCCTGTTGATTTGAACGGTGAACATTTATTGGTTTGGAGATGATCAAACTTACAGAGTAGGCAAAAAGTATGGAGAGTGGTCACCATGCAAAAGCTAAATTCATAATTTATTTAAATGTTCTAATATAGTATTCAATCATTTGCATAAGTTATTATCATTGATGGCTTTTGCAGTTAAGAAGTAAAAAAAATCATTTTAAAAGTATTAAACAATTTTTTTAGCCAAACAAAAAGTTTCTGCTGAGTGTGTATTAGTTTTTTTTGCAGAAGAAAAGAACATCTAAGATGTGCAATTTTAGAATCAATTTACAAGGTAGAACATGTTCTAGTAAACTAAAATCAGTGTCTGCATTCTGTATCAGTACCAGGTTTTATCTTTCTATATCGGCTGAGATTCTTTGAATAAATGACAGACGGCATATTATACATTGTCATAATGTGGCCAATCTGATCATCTTAAAAACTTTGCCTCAAACTGTTGCATGCTGAATGTGCAGAAGTGTTCTCTTAATCAAGGGAATTATATGAGCCGCGTCACGACAAAACCAACATAATGGGTTTGTGACCAGCATGGATCCAGACCAGCCTGCACATCCGTGCAGTCTGATCAGGATCCATGCTGTTCGCTTTCAGTTTCTCTACTTGTTATAGGGTTTGTAAGCTAACAGCATGGATCCTGATCAGACTGCGCAGATGCGCAGGCTGGTCTGGATCCATGCTGGTCACAAACGCATTATGTTGGTTTTGTCATGAGGCGGCTCAATTATGTTTATGTGTCATTTTCTGAGATTTATAAAAATTAACCACACAATATATATATAATTCACAGTCAGATAAATTCTAGTTTTAAATGTCAGTAAGCCTTGATGGGTATCATCATTTATGAAATAATCTCTCATTCAGTTACTGATAAGCAAAAAACCCAAGTGATATAACTTGAATAAATTAAGATAATAAAAAAAATTTGAAATGATTTTGCATTTGAAAAGATCTTAAAAGTTAGACTTAATGAATTTGGTAGACTATCTGTACATTAAGTGAAAATGTCATTTTGACATTTTATGTCATATCGACATAGACATTGACCTACTGAAAATTTCACAGTAAATGCGCAATTATTATACATTTAATTAAGAAAAATGTAAATTCAGTTAGAATATCTTAATTTATGTTTTAATTAATATATAAAAACAGAAACAATATCAGTCCGTCGTAAAAAAAATCCCTTACGTGGGCCAATGTGCAATTAATACCTATGTTTTGTTAGCTCAACTATTTGAAAAATAGGGAGAGCTATTGTACTTGCTTCCGCATTGCCATCTCACTTTAGTTGAGTTTTGGGTGCAGTTGGTATCTTAAAAAAATACTAAAGGGAATGGGTTGCAAGGCCCATAACTCTCACATGGATTGTGATAAAATTATATCCTCTTTTTAATTTTTATGCCCCCCCCCATGTAATGGCCGGGGCATATAGTGTTACCCTGTTCCGTCCTTCCGTCATTCCGTCCTTCCGTCATTCCATCATTCCATCATCATCAGTTTCCGTTCATTATCTAAGTAACGGTTGCACACATTCAACTCAAATTTGACATATGGATATGTCATGAGAAAATACAGGTCAAGTTTGAATTTGGTCATGGTTCGATGATTTTTGGCAGAGTTATGCCCCTTTTACTTTAAAATAATATGAAATTTTCAGTTTCCGTTCATTGTCTCCCCAACGATACAACACATTCAACTCAAACTTGACATATGGATATGTCATGAGAAAATACAGGTCAAGTTCGAATTTGGTCATGGTTCGATGATTTTTGGCAGAGTTATGCCCCTTTTACTTTGAAAATAATATGAAATTTTCAGTTTCCGTTCATTATCTCCCCAAAGGTACAACACATTCAACTCAAATTTGACATATGGATATGTCTTGAGAAAATACAGGTCAAGTTCGAATTTGGTCATGGTTCGATGATTTTTGGCAGAGTTATGCCCCTTTCACTTTGAAAATAATATGAAATTTTCAGTTTCCATTCATTATCTCCCCAACGGTACAACACATTCAACTCAAACTTGACATATGGATACATCAAAGGAATGCGCAGGTCAAGTTCAAATTTGGTCGTGGTTCAATAATTTTTGGCAGAGTTATGCCCCTTTCACTTTGAAAATAATATGAAATTTACAGTTTCTATTTATTATCTCCCCAACAGTGTTACATATTCAACTCAAATTTGACATATGGATATGTCAAAGGAATGGGCAGGTCAAGTTGGAATTTGGTCCTGGTTCGATGATTTTTTGGCAGAGTTATGTCCCTTTCACTTTGAAAATAATATAGATACATCTTAGGAATAAGCAGTTTAAGTTTGAATTTGGTCGTGGTTCAATGATTTTGGACAAACTTATCTTTCTTGAATGTTGGAAAAATTTTGAACTTTCAGTTTCAGCACTCATACTTTTGTGGAAAGTTTGAATTTGGTCGTGGTTCAATGATTTTGGACAAACTTATCTTTCTTGAATGTTGGAAAAATTTTGAACTTTCAGTTTCAGCACTCATACTTTTGTGGAAATGTATGTAGCCATTATTTTGGCTACAAATATGAAATATGCTATTTTCAAAAGGTTAAGACTAAATAATTTCAGTGCTTTGAACATTGTATGAAAATGGCTTGTGTTAACATTGAAAAGTTTTAAGGGCTTTGAACTGCAAATGAAAAAAATAATTTGTGCAAACTAATTTGGAACTAAATATTATAACATCTGAAATTTTGGCTGCATGCGGGGGCATCCGTGGCATGATGACACATTTCTAGTTTTTAATCATATTAGCTTCTTTTTAGCTCACCTGAGCTAGCTCAGGGTGAGCTTTTAGGATCATTGAATGTCTGTTGTCTGTCGTCCGTCCACACTTGTTCGTTAACACTCAAGCGGTCACATTTTTAGGTAATTGCTTGCATGAGTTCGAACATGGATCATCACAGATGAAAAACTAAGGTCACAGGAGTTAAAAATAAAAAATCTTGTGAACACTCTAGTGGCAGCTGTTATGATCCAAGTATCCTGGAAATTGGTCTGAAAGTTTGTTTTGATGATTTCTAGGTCAAGTTTGAATATGGGTCACCTGGGTAAAAATACTAAAAAAACTAGGTCATACTTTTCAAATATGGATAATCCTTGTTTACTCTCTAGTGGTCACATTTTTGACTCACCTGTCATGAAACTTAGTCAGAATGTTTGTCTAGGTCATTGTTTGGATTAGTTCGCTGGGTCAGGTGAGCAATCTAGGGCCATCATGGCCCTCTTGTTTATTAAGATTCAGCTAAATAGTTATGTTATACTTATAATCATAAAAAGCAATATTTTGCACCTTTACAATATCTGTTATGTTCTGTTCTATGTATGAAGCTATTGTTTGGTCTGGTACATCATGATATAATCTTGCCTATCATGTCATCACAAAATTCAATGAGACACATAAATCTTGTGTGCCACATTATCCTTTAATGTCATGTTTATATCAAACATTAATCTGGTTTGCCACATTAGTATAAATGCTATGTTTTCTTACACATTAATCTGGTTAACCACATTATCCTTTAATGTCATGTTTATATCAAACATTAATCTGGTTTGCCACATTAGTATAAATGCTATGTTTTCTAACACATTAATCTGGTTTGCCACATTATCCTTTAATGTCATGTTTATATTACACATTAATCTGGTTTGTCACATTATCCTTTGATGTCATGTTTATATTACACATTAATCAGGTTTGTCATGTTTATATCATTCATTAATCTAGTACGTATGTCTTACTACTCTAATTGTTCTGTGTCTTGTAGCCCCTGGAAGACTGGACAACACAGAATGTGATGGACTGGATGGCAGCCCTTAACCTTTACCGGTATGCAGAACTGTTCCGTGACAAGGGAATAACAGGGAGGCACCTTACACAGATGGAAGAAAAAATGCTTGAGGTAAGACAAACTTTATTGATACTTCATTGATGGTCAACCATTTGTGTGTAGAGTACTAGTTAAAGCTATACACTCCAGGATTCAACGCCATCATGATAAATATGTATATATAATACATGGCTATACAGTATGTAAATCCTTTTTGGAAATGCTAGTACTTGTAATGTACAAGTTACAATAATCCAGCTTCTATCCAGCTAGCTTTAGGTATTAGGTTGGTGGTCCTCTTCAGGTGCCCTGTTATGACATCTTATTCTAGAAGGTTCTAAGGTCTTCCAGAAGGCTTTTACAGTCTTGATATACATGTAGCTTTAAACCCACCAAAACAAACCAAACTTATTAATAATAATGTGAAGGCATTAGTGTTGACCCTTGTAAAATGCTTATTAGTTGTCAATTATTCATGACATGATAAAATGCTGTTTATGTTCTTTGCTGTTGATAATTACTGTGTCTGAGAGTGCAGAAATGTTACAGAAATACTGACTATCCTCTTTTTAAATAAGTGTTAGAAGGTCACATGGTTGTTAATTGTACACCGATTGTTTACAAAACAAAATACAAAAAAATAAAACAACAACAGTTTAGTAACAATGATATACATTTTAAGTTATTAAGTTTTTATTAAGACTTGCATCTAGGATGTTTTGATATACATCTACAACCTTTAAAAGCATCATTATGATATCAACTGGTAGAAAAATCTCTAAATTTTTGCGATTCATTGAAGATCTTTGATAGAATTTTAGATTCAAGTTATTTTCTTAAGAAATTGTTTGTAGGAGGGCTGTTCGATAAATTTGAAGAATTTTTGCAGTAACTCTTTCATTTTGTAATATTTTCTCTTTATATTTACCATTATTATATATTGTAGTACTACATAAACTTTGGGTAAAGATCAAAGAAAGTTCTCTATAAAGGCCCAAAATACTCATAACCATAGTAACCCATGTCTTGCTTGTTGCCAGGCTCCATTTTTCACTGTTAATATTCTTCCAAAACATCATTTTCATAATAGAAAAAATGCTGCAAACTTAGCAGACATTTATCCCTTGTTGATCTTTGCTTTCATATTGATAATAGTAATGTTGTATGTCACAGCTATAACCCTTAACATGAAAATGTCTTAAATGGATTCATCCATCTTTTAATCTTGACAAAACCATTTCCATTTATTTTTTTTTTTTTGGCTTGCAGCCACGGCTGCAAGCCATTTCATTTGGAAAACCTGTTCCGGTTAGGTGGTTTTCTGCTTACATTTATAAGTGCATGATTGAACGGGAAACCAGCTGAAATCGTGCCAATCGCAACTTTTCGGCCTTTTCCGTCACTCTTCGGATTAATGATAATAGCCGATGTACTTCCGATTGCAATCGTGACAATTCGGGCGATTCCGTCATACTGCGGAATCAGACGAAGTAATATTACGGAAATCTAAGCTATTTTAGTTACTTCGGTAATCCCAGTTTGTTTATATAAATAGGATTCGTATTTTTACTTGATTTATTGATTTAAACCGTAATAAATTATAAACGAAATTGTTCCGTTTCAATTCTTTTTCAAGACGCAAAAGTTAGTTTCTTTTATAATTGTTTTTTGTCTGTATTAGTTTTACACAATAGAGGATGTTGACTGTAGTAGTATTCCGTCTTCAAAGGGTGGTCCAAATCACACAGTGCATGATCGAGTTATATTTAGATCTACTGAACTTGGTGAGGTAATCTAAAAATAGCCCATGCATATCATTAACCTTACCACGTGATGATTTATAGATAGCGCATCGTATCTGGGAACATGCTTATTAATTAAATGAAATGTGCACACTTGTTTCCTTTCAGTATGATAGATCTTCACGTTAGTATTTTTACGATTGATTATTTTCTTTATTAGTTTTATACAATAGAGAATAGATTTCAAATCGTTTTGACAAAAATATTCGTTTTTACAAAAATAAAAACAAATAAATATGTTGGGATGAAGGCACAACTGTGCAAGCCTTTCCTTTTAAAAGGAAACTTTATTTTTTTTGTGGAAAAACATTAACTGACAGAATAGTGAACAGTGCAGACCATGATCAGGTGGCACAGATGTAGGTAGATTCAGTTGCCCAAAAGTTAAAGATATATTGTATTCATAAGTGGTAACATTTCTTACATTTCTTATTATAAAGTAATGTTAAAAGTTTAGAATGTCATACTGTAAAGAAGTTCATCAATCCAGTCAAACCATATATGAGTATGTACTTTTAACGCCTGGTCTGTTTTTTTCTCTGTCAGACACATATCCTTCTGTCCTAAATGAAAATATATTCTTATAAACTTAGATTAAAGCTGAGAACCAATTAAGCCGCCAATCTGAAGTACATTCCAAATATAGTAACAGATGTTCTGTATAAATACGAGGGGGAACCAGTGTGAGAACTAGAACTTATCTCTCAAATCAGCTGATCATGCTTGTTTTTCCTGATTCTGATGTTCACAGATTGTCTATTATATTCACAAGCCTATAGAAGCTCTGTACTTTTGTAATGATATTAAAGCCATCTCAAATATTCAATATCTTTAAATGACGAATACCTGGGTACATGACCTTAGGAGAGATGTCCCACTTTTACATGATGTCCCTCACTGATACTTGATAAGCATTTGTTCCACATTTTAACAAATGAAAGGCAGTATTGATTTGTTAAACAATATTTTTGTCATCAGAATTTTATTTCTACAGCAGACAGGAAAAAACATTATTAAGAAGCCTGGATTAAGTAACCAAACCTGAGTTCAATGCCTTAAAACAAAGATGTGAATGCCAAGGTCTGATGTTTTATATCCAGGACAAGGTCTGTGTTCTTCATTTAGATGAAAGTTCAGTAGAACACAGCATTTTGCTTAACCCTTCACCAGCTGAATTTGTGTAATGGATAGGTCCTGAATTATGGAATTGTCCTTTCAAGGTATAAGGAATATTAAGTAACAAAGCTACCAACAGCTAGTATAAACCCTGGTCAGACTACATGGAGGTGCAGGCTACTGAGGTGACAAAGGCTAAATACTGTCAAATGTGATATCCTTAAATACACACATTTCAATCATGGATTTTCAGTCTAAACTTTTACAGTGTTAAGATAGTTTTCATTGTAAGTATTGTTATTAATCTGTTTGATTTAAACCATTTAAATGCCTCTTGAAAGATTCAGAATGCTGTTAACAATAGCAAGAATCGCTGCAGTGTTGCAGTAGCATCACCAGTAGATACATTGGATTCAAACCAATTCATCCCCCCCCCCCCCCCCCCCAAAAAAAAAAAAAAACAACAACAACAAAAACTAAAGCCATGTCTTGGTGTACAGAGTTCAAAGGGGAGACTTTAAGATTGCTATAGCAGTGCAGTTATGTCTCTTTAGATGCCACATGAGCTCTTTGAGTGCACAAAAAAGGTCACAATGCATATAGTGCTTTTTGAGATGTCAATGACACATTTATTGAATAATTTAGATTGACATTAAATCATACTTTCCGAGATGTATCATAATTGATATCCCCTCAAGTCTCCTACAGTTATGTTAAGTAGGTAACAATAATATTGCTGATGTAAAAGTTTACTGATAGTTTTCTTTATTATTGCTCTGGGGGCGCGAATAATTATTGAGTTTGGGCCAAAATGTGCAATACTCAAACTTTTTACAAAATGCCTAAACATCGTAGTTTAGCTGATTATATCCTGAAATGCATTAGGAATCATTAAAACAGGTAATCATTTTACATTGTATATGGTATGTCACTCGGCAATTTGATATAATAGTTCTGATGATTAATTTCAGTTAATGCATCCATTGTTAAAATAATTAATAGCAATCAAAAATCGAGAAGCATTAAATGGTCTTTTAAGGAAACTGCCAACCTGTGAAAAAATGTGTACTCATTAGTCCCCCAACAATTATCCTTTTAACATTGAATTAATCTAAATCAGCATTCATGACTTCAGAAGGTTGATATAATCAACACTTATGTGAACTCTGATTGAATATACTGCATTTGTCGCAATCCAATTTCTCATCACTCAACAAGCAACCTCAACAGAATTAAACTGGATTCTTGGGAAAAAACTTGCGCTCAGATTGGCTTAGGATGCATCACGGTTGACAACCATGAGCCCAAGGTTTAAAATCACACTTGCAGATGATATTGATTACATCTTATGCCTCTTTTCAAAAAAGTGGGGTTATATTGCTGTGCACATGTTGGTCTGTTGGTCCGTAGACCAAACTGTTTTTGGAATACCAGGGCCTAGGAACTTCAAATTTCGTATGGAGATTGGTCATGACCAGTAAACAAACTTTAATGTTTTTTGAGTCACTAAGTCAAAGGTCAAGGTCACATTGACCTTTTATATCACAATGGTTTCTAACCAAGAGCTCAACAACCCAAGGGTCTTTACTCACAAACTTCACAGGACTGGTGCATTAATGGTATTTGGCAAGAAGATGAGTCTTATTGATATTGGGGTCAAGGGGTCAATGGTAACGTCAAATGGTTTCTGACCAATAACTCGAAAACCTTTGGGCACTATAGTCTTGGCGCTTGGTCATCAAAATCCACAAGTGTATAGCTTTTGGGGTTGCAGGGTCAAAAGTCAAGGTCATATTAACCTTGACTGTCTGAATGATTTTTGAAAAAAATAATTTGACAACCAATCAGATCTTGGCGCTCAAACTTCACAGCAACATTGGTCTTTGGCAGAAGAGGAGCCCTTTGGATGGATGGGAGCCTGAGGTCTTCCTTTTCCAGTAAAGCTGGAAAGTGGCCATTAATTTTTATAGTGTTGGTGTGACATTTAATCTAACTCATAAAATTAAAACAATTATACATCTTTACTTATATATACAATGTTCTTCCTTTCTGATGTGTTTGACTTTAGAAATCAGAAAAAGTTGAGTGTGGAGCGGCTATTGTTAGCTTATAATAACGATTGTCTGAATGTAACTGGAAAATTTTGAGTGCTAA